CACGGAGCTGAATGAACTGATGGCTCAAGTGCTCATCTCTTAGCTATGGACCATCCTATTGGCTGGGTCTGCTGTGGGGTTGTATACCTAGCACTTGGCAGAGGTCATCCTTGGCTGTGGTGGTGAGTTCAAGTTTAGCCTAATTTACAAGACACTTTCAAAAAATGCAACAGGCTGTGGTAGTGCTCACCTTTAGTCCCAACAATCTGGAGACAGAAGCGAACAAATCTCTTGTGAGTTCGAGGCCAGCCTGGTCTACAGAGCAAGTTCCAGGACAGCCAGGGCTGTTAAACAGAAACTGTTGGGGGAGGTGGGGACACAAAAATTATAGGGGCTGGAGAGATGTCTCAGCAGTTAAGACTGAGCACTGGTTAGTTTTCCAGAGGTCCCCAGTTATAATTCCCAGCATCCATGTGGCAGTTCTCAACTATTAACTCCATTTCCAAGGGATGTGATATCTTTATGTTCATACAGGCAAAACACTTAATGCACATTAAAAATGGAGCTATTGTCTAGGAGCCTCTGGATATCAGTCCTGTTGTGTGCTCTTCCTGTGTAGAGAAAGACATGGAGTGTGCCAGGAAATGGCTCACTCAAGGGGCCCAGGTCCTTCACCGCATCTGATAGTCACCCTACATCCAGTCTGCCCTGCAGACCCAGGACAGAGGAGTCCGATTGTGGGAGAAGCCCACGTCCACAGAGTAGCCGAAATAGCCCAGAGGGCCTGGAGGGTTTCTTGGGGGTGTAAGTCTGAACCTGCTGGTGGATTGTTGGGTCTTGTTCACACACACCTCAGAGATGTGATGAAGGGCCTTGGTCACCAAAGCTCACTCGACAAAATGCTGTTAACTGAAAGAGTTGTTGGCTTATAGAAGCAAGCTGGACTGCTGAGTGCTGACCTTAGAGACTGGCCTTCCCTGTCAATGGACAGGAAAATTCACACACCCTGGAGACCACACAGCCACTGAGGAGAGCTGCTCACATATATTTAGTTTTTTATTTGTTGAGACAGGATTTCATGGAGTCTTGGCTGACCTAGAACTTGCCATGTTGAGCCTCAGATTCTCAAAGATCTGCCTGCCTCTGGAGTGCTGACCCAGCAGACAGGACATTCCCATGGGCTGTGCAGATGTCAGGCAGAGAAGTAGAGCAAGGCTCACTGAATACCAGGGAGATGGCATGCCAGGCTCGGCATTACCTGACATGCTCAGGTGACCCTGTGATGGTGAGGAGAGTGTCCCTGAGAAAATGCCCCCCCCCCCCATTTTCACATAGCGGCCAAAAGCTAAAGGAGAAAGACAGCAGGCTCCACTTTTTTTTGAGACTGGATCTCCTTACAAAACCTTGCTATCCTGGAACTTACTACATAGACCAGGCTGGCCTCTGCACATGAGCACTGGATGAAAGGTGTTCACCACACTGTCCAGCTGGAAGTCTACACAGTGATTTCATTTATTCCTTTGTTTGTTTGTTTGTTTCCAAGACAGGGTTTCTCTATTGTTTTGGAGGCTGTCCTGGAAATAGTTCTTGTAGACCAGGTTGGTCTCGAACTCACAGAGATCCTCCTACCTCTGCCTCCAGAGTGCTGGGATTAAAGGCATGTACCACCACTGCCCAGCTGGTTTTCTTTAAGAAGAGCCTTTGAAGCCGGGCGTTGGTGGTGCACGTCTTTAATCCCAGCACTTGGGAGGCAGAGGTAGGCATATCTCTTAGTTCGAGGCCAGCCTGGTCTACAAGGACTATTTCCAGGACAGCAGACCGAGTTCCAGGACAGTCTCCAAAACAATACAGAGAAACCCCCTCTCAAAATAACCAAAAAAAAAAAAAAAAAAAAAAAAAAGAGCCTTTGTTTTGTTGCCAAGGCTAACATCAGGGATTCTCCCGCCTCAGCCTCTGGAGCAGCTGGGAATGCAGGTACTGGCCACATAACCCCTGTCCCTTATCCCCTTTTTGAGCCTGACTGTTGCTGTAAGCAGGCTGGCAACCCTCCTGAGGTCCTCCTGGTAATCTGGGGCTGCAAGGCATGGATAGGAGTTGGGGTAGTAATGGACTTCATCAAGAGAACGAGCAGCCGGGCGGTGGTGGCGCACGCCTTTAATCCCAGCACTCGGGAGGCAGAGGCAGGCGGATCTCTGTGAGTTCGAGGCCAGCCTGGTCTACAGAGCGAGTTCCAGGACAGCCTCCAAAGCCACAGAGAAACCCTGTCTTGAAAAACCAAAAAAAAAAAAAAAAGAGAGAGAGAGAGAGAAGGAGCAGCTGAGGTTAGCCTGGGACCTATGGCTTTCCCAGAGGGACCAGAGACCCCTTTACTTGGGTGCATGGCTCCTTCCCAGAGGCACAGCTGGAACACATCTGGAGAGGGGAATTGTTTCTCCTAGCGCCTGGCTCTGGAGCAGACGGCCCTTTCTCCCTCCCTACCTCCTTGAATACCGGGAATTCCGGCGCCGCTGGGAGCCTGGGCCAGGCTGGGAACTTTCCTACAGCTGGGGGTGGCTGGGAATGTGCAGTTCTGCAGAGGCGGGGCGGGCCAGCCTCAGTCACTGTGAATGTGTGTGTGTGTGTGGGGGGGCAGACACAGGACTCAACTCCTAAGGAGCCCCCGGTACACAATGCAGCCCTGTGGGCACGGTGGCATTCAGGGAGCACACAGCTCCTTTTACTGAGTCTGGTCTTGGGCTGGTTGACTCACAATCACCTCTTGTAACGCTGGTGGCTCTTGGCACTCGATGGGTAAGTCGGGCTGTGAGGATTGGTCCCTGCTCAGCCCTTTCCTAGCGGGGAGACTAGGCAAGTTTCTTCTGTGCCTGTTTCTTCTCCCTAGTTTTGGATTGAGATAGTCTCACTCAGTAGCCCAGGCTCTTTCCTCATCTCTGTAAGGATTAAAGACAAGGAAAGACGCCTGTGGCTCAAAGTGTATACTGCTCTTGGAGAGGGCCCAAGTTCAATGTCTAGCACCCATGCTGCTTAGCTCATAGTTGCAGAGGACTCTGACGCCCTGCTCTAGGCTCCAAAGATGCTTGCACTCATGTATGTGCAGAGTTCAATGCCCAGCACTGCAAACAAAAAGCATCCTCAGGGTGTTGGGGAAACTCTGGTGGCCAAACTCTGGGAATCCCAGGCCCCTAAGAGTCTGGTTCTCAGATGGCAAAAACAAATCCAAACAAAACCCTCACCAGCCTCTCAGAGATGCCAAGGGTCAAAACAGAATGAGCTGACACAGTGACAACCTTGAAGCCAGCAAGGAGCTCTTCTCTTCTGTAGTAAAGCAGTCTCTGGCTGCTTGCCAAGGGCTAACAACCAGATACCTGAGCTCTGCAGGTTAGGAGGCTCCGTGTGTGATCAGAATGACTCCCCGGTGAGTCATGGGTTAAGATGCACTTGAGAAGTGACAGGATATGCTCACTGGACGCTAAAACCATTCCAAGAAGACAGGAAAGCCAGAGCTCTGAGGAATGTCACACACCAAATAAAGAGGACTTGAATTTACAGCCCCACGACACAGGGATGCCTCAGAATTCCAGGGAGGATTACAGACAGGGAAGGAAGGAAGGAGCTGGCATTTTTATCACCAAACAAACCGTTTCAATTATGCTACCCCGCAAGCCACTGCTGGGAGGGGGCAGGATACAAGCATAAAAACCTTTTTGTCCTACAACTTGGAGTTATTCTGTGGGAGGCAAGAACATGTTGAGGAATTGCAGAGGTCCCAAACGAGGGATGTGGTGTGTGTTTGTGTGTGGTTAGGGGGGGTGTTGGACATAATAATCAGGCTATTCATGGGAAAGGGGAGCTTGGATGTTTCCAAGGAAACCAAATGAGGGACAGAGCTCCTACAACGCCAACTTGACATGTCCTGGTGTCAGCAGGGGGTTTACGGTACTGGAAGAAGCCCATCAAGGAGAGGTGGTGCAGGATGGGTTGGTGGATAGAGGTGGTGGTGACGGTGTGTACGGAAGAGCAGATACACAGATGGAGGATGGGGAGGCAAACGGTGGGTGGAGACGGGGCGGTGGACATTGGATCCATTCAGATGGAAGAATGGAATAGAATTGGATGGATGGAGGGAAGGAGGATGGTAAAAGTTGATGGGAAAATGGATATATCACAGGGCAGAGAACGGAAGCAGCCGGGGTAAGCAGAGAGGGCAAGGCAGCAGATAGCTGCCAGGCGGTGGTGGCGCACGCCTTTAATCCCAGCACTCAGGAGGCAGAGGCAGGCAGGTCTCTGTGAGTTCGAGGCCAGCCTGGTCTACAGAGCAAGTTCTAGGACAGCCTCCAAAACAATACAGAGAAACCCTGTCTTGAAAAACCAGGAAAAAAAAAAAAGGATTTCAAGGGGTCTACCCAGAGGGGGGCATTTGCCCTGGTAGCCCAGGTTGCCCCAAAACTCCTGGACTCATAGGACCCATTTCAGCCTCCCAGGCAGCTGGGACCAGGGGCGTGCACCATCATGATGCCCAGCCTGAGCAGGAGGGCCATCTTGGATGGCAATCAAACAGTTCTGAAATCCTCAGAACTACAAGTCAGATCTAATGCCCTCCAAAGACCCTGAGGTTCCCTAGGCTTGTTTGTTTTTTGAGACAAAGTCTAATGTAGCTCAGGCTATGTAATCAAGGATGGCCACAAATAAATGACCCTCCCTCTCCACAGACTACAGGTATACAGTATCACACCCAGTTTTTTGTTTTGTGTTTCGAGACAGGGTTTCTCTGTGTAGCTTTGGAGGCTGTCCTGGAACTGGCTCTGTAGACCAGGCTGGCCTCAAACTCAAGAGATCTGCCTGTCTATGCTTCCCAAGTGCTGGGATTAAAGGCGTGCACCACTGCCCAGCTCGCACCCAGTTTTATGTAGTGCTGGGAATTGAACTTTGCACAGTCTGGGCAAACGCTGTAACAACTGAACAACATGCCCACCCTGAGATCCCCCAAATGTTCTGTTTTCACACTTGGGCCACGTCAGCTCTTAGTACCTCCCACCACCTCAAGAACAGCAAAACACACAGCATTTCATAAAGTTAATTAACAAAATAACCACGACCTCATAAGGGCCATCTGTGAACACAGATCCCAAGGCATGGAAAGCTGCAGCCATTTCCAGACCTGTGTCCTGACTCCAGATATCGCAAGGGTGGGTGGCACCTGGTGAAAGTTCTGGAAGCTTAGGAAGCCTAATGTCCAGGCTTACTTACATTTGGGACAGGGCATCAGGAGCCCCCTGTGCCTTGGGAAGGCCCACAGGCTCCGGGGTGGGGGGCTGCCAAGAGAGCAGGGTGGTTTAGCCGGACCTGGGCTTTGGCTGGCCGTAGGCGCCCACCACCTCCTACCTGGATACTAACTGTGGTGGCATAGCTGAGCCTCCTGGCTGGAGGGGCTGGGGGCTGGGGCTGAGGTGGTGGTGAGGGCGCCCGTGATGTGGGCGCAGAGGAGGACCAGTGACCCTGGGAGGGTACCAGCCCGTCTCCGCCAGGTCCCTGACGGCGAGCCAGGCTCTGGCTGATGTATGAAGCTGCCAGATACCTTGAGAGGGCAGCGGCACTGGGACCCAGCAGCTGGCGTGTGGAGAGGGAGGGGCTCTGGAGTGGGGTGCAGTCTGAGGACTCTGATGTGGCAACAGGAGAGACCAAATGGCCTCTTGGTTTTGATAACTCCATGGTGGTCTGAGTCGGGGTGGTTATTAGGTCTGGCAGGTCCCCAGAGCATCCTTGTTCAGTAAAAGGCGTGGCAGCTGAAACGTGGCCATCCGTGGGGTTCTGCTGGTCCAGGGAGGGTAGAAGTCTGGGAGCTGGTGTGTCATCTGTGAGGCTGGGATCTGGACCCAGAGACTCTGGGGCTCCCTCCTGCTTGGGGAGCGATGGGGGAGCTTCGGCCCTGATGTCTGTAAGGACTTGTGGCTGGGACATGGGTAAGGCAGCTGGCATCTGAACGTCTTGGGACAAAGATGGGCTGCATGGGATGCAGCAGTCTGGGTGACCTCCCTCTGCAGGCAGAGGAAAGGTACCAGGACCCTTCATGTCTGGGGGGTCAGGTGACAATGGCAGTGGGGAGGCGGCTGGGATCTCACAGTCAGGGTCGCTTGTGCACACTGGTAAGGGGCTGACAGCTCGGCCACCAGCAGCAGCTGGACCCTGATCAATGCTGTCATCAACTTGCTCACTTCCTGGGGAACTATCCGGGCTTTGGCTGTCCTCGTGACTTTCTTGCTTGGACAAAAGGGGGGTGGCTAAAATCATGACACTAGCACAAGCTCCCTGTTTGGGCAATGCCCCAGTGGTTTGCATTTGGAAGTCTGCATGACACGCTTGCCCAGGAAGACAGGAGGTGGTGGGTGGCACCTGGATCTCCATGTAGTTTCCATGCCCAGTTGAAGAAGTGGCAGCCGGAACTTGACTCTGATCAGGCAAAGTGGAGGCAGTTGGGACCTGCACGTCTGGAGGTTCTTCTGGCTCGGGCGAAGGGGATGTGCATGGAACCTGCATAGTCTCGAAGTCACTTTGCTCAGGTAGAGGGGTGGGCGGAATGAAGCTGCTCAGGTGGTCTTGCTTGGGCAAATCTGGAACACTTAGACTCTGGGCATTCAGGGGATCTCCTTGCTTAGACAGAGGTGTGGCAGCATGAACCAGAGCAGCAGGACCCAGAGGGACAGACTCCTGGGCACAGTTCAGTGGGAAGGCCAGCTCACATACAAGCACATGTCCAAAAGCAGGCAGGGGCCCTGTATGAAGAGAAAGAGAATCAAGGGCTAAGGGTGCAGATTAGCAGTAGACACCTGCCTGGAATCCCCCAGTGAGAGGCTGGGGGCGTGGCTCAGTGGTAGAGCCCCTACTTAGAATCACCCAGTGAGAGGCTATCTCGAAAAACAAAAAACAAACAAACAAAAACGTGTAAGTTACCAGGCTCAGCCTCCTCCTGGGGTGGGCAGGGGGATGGCTGGGGTTGGGCCAGGACACGAGGTCGGCGTCGGGGGGCATTGGTGGATGCCCGAGTCTCAGCTCGCTGCATCTGCTGAATCCGCTCGCTGTAGAGTCGAGCCAGCTCTCGCACCCGGGATGCTGACCGTTCGGAATGTGGCATTCCTGCCTTCCCGCTGGGGCTGCCTCCAGTAAGGTCAGAGTCCTCCAGGATCAGCAGCGGTTCAGGGAAGCCAGGCCGGGCCAGCTGCCCCTGCTCCAACGCTTGCCAGGCGCTCCGGATTTCTGAACAAGAGCGGTATTCCAGTTCCTGCGGGAATCCTGGGACTTGGGCGCCATTCTGGGTCTGCACAGCTGGGAATGCCACGCCTTCCGTGTCTTCCTCCTGTCCCACCCGGCTTTCTGAGGGTGGCTCGCCCAGTCCTCTGGGATTGCTCCCAGTCAACAATTCCCTCCTGGTGGCTAGAGGCTGGGCAGGCTCCTGAAGGGGTCCAGGGAGCCAGGGGCCACAGGGGAAGGAGGGGGTGCTGGCCAAGCTGGGAATGTCAGGCACACTGGACATGGGTGAAAGGCAGGGCATCTCAAACACACCAGGGATGTCAGAGAGACTGGGAAGGCAGGGAACCTCGGGGATTTCTGGAAGGCTGGGCATGCCACTGGGAATCTTGGCAAGGCCGGGCATGCAGGGCATTTCAGCCGAGCTGGAACCTTCCAGCCCCTCTAAGACGTGGAGTGGGGATGGCTCCCGCTCATCTGTCTCCAGCTCTTCATCCTCCTCCTCCTCCTCTGAGGACTCTCGGCTGGGCAGGGCTTGGAACGAGAGGGGCTCGCTTTCAACTGGTACCCGGGAGTCTCTGGGGAACTTGGGAGTGTCATGGGTGGCTGGCTATAGTGGGAACACAGAGAAAGCCAAGGCATCAGGGGGATGGGGTGGCGGGAGGACCTGGGCTGTGTGCTCTGCCCGCCCGAGGCATCAGGGGGATGGGGTGGCGGGAGGACCTGGGCTGTGTGCTCTGCCCGCCCGAGGCATCAGGGGGATGGGGTGGCGGGAGGACCTGGGCTGTGTGCTCTGCCCGCCCAAAGCTATGACAGTAGTTGCAGCTCACCCCTGGATCCCTCAGGCCTCTCTGGTTAAGCAGTTCTAGGATTTCCTCAGTGATGGAGGTCCCTGATGGGTCCAATGTGGGAGGCCCAGCATCTTCCAGGTCTTCAGGGGGGCCAGAAGCAGACAGCACAGGCTGCAACTCAGGAGGGGGATGGAGTTCCCCTTCACCGCCAGCATGCTTGAGAGGGGTGGAAAGGGAGAGCCTGGAATGCTGTGCCCCAAACTCCCAGCCCTCCTCTTGCAGATGGGGGAAGTCAAAGACCCCTGCCCCCACCTTCTTATTCTTTCTTTTGGAGAGGGCCTTATGTAGCCCAGACTGGCCTTGAATTTCTAACCCTCCTGCTTTCCTACCACAGGCAGCCTGGCTTCACCACCACCCCCTTTTTAAAATGGGTGTAGGGGATGGAACTCAGTGTTATCCCCCAAAACCACCCCCACCCATTTTTTGAGAGATAGGGTCTCACTATGTAGCCTGAGCTGGCCTAAAATTCAGTATGTAGACCAGGCTGGCCTTGAACTCACAGACACCTGCCTATCTCTGCCTCCAAGCTGGGATTAAAAACATGTGGAACATCACACTTCACCTGCTAGCCACCCCCTCCCCTTTAGATTTTTTCGAGACAGGGTTTATCTGTGTAGCCCTAGCTGTCCTGGAACTCGCTCTGTAGACCAGGCTGGCCTCGAACTCACAGAGATCCGCCTGCCTCTGCCTCCCGAGTGCTGGGACTAAAGGCGTGCGCCACCAGTGCCTGGCTGCTTCAAACTTTTGACCCTCTTGTTTGTAGCCTAAATTGCAATCACCTCCAGGGTACCCCGCTTAATGCCCCCCTCTTTATTTATAAATAAATATATTTTGAGAGTTTCATATCATATGGTTCAGGCTAGACTAGAACTCGCCTGTAGTCAAGGATGACCTTGAACTCATGACCCTCCTAGCTTTCTCTCTCTTGTGCTGGGATTTCAGGCTTGTGCTATCTAGTTTTATGTGCAGCTAAGGGCTCAAACTTAGAGCATGCTGGGTAAACCCAGAATCAATTTAGCTACATCCCCAGGCCTTTAACCCAGGCTTTTCCGGACCTAGGAGTGTGGAATTGAAATTCTCCTCTCCACCGGAGCTAGGCATTCAGGTTCCCAGTGTCTGGCCCAGGGCGTTTCTCAGTTCTTACCTTGACTTGAGGCTTCTCTGGGGATGGAGAAGAACAGAAAAGAATGAGACACAGGAGTAAATTATTCCCTGCAATTGACCAGCTGACCCCTCCTCCCCCTCCAACCACCCTCAGGCATCCCTGGAGAGAGACAAGGACAGACTGACGGACATGGACCAGCCACTAACCGTTCTGGGGAAAAATGACATAAGGTTCCTTTGCTGGCTCTGGGGAAGGACACAGGATTATCAGGAGGCCAGGCCATTGGCTCCCTGTGTCCCCTTGAAGTGGTGTGACTACTCACCGGACTGCCTGCGGCCACGGCGGCTGCCGGAGAGTCTTGGAGACGGAGCTGTGGGAGAAACGGTCAGAGTCCAGTGTGAGCCCAGCCCTTCCGCCTAGGGGAGGGCCTGGGGGCTCAAACTCACATTCTGTGTTACCTGGGTTTCTTCTGCCAGGAGTGAAACTTCTAGCGTCCCGAGGGCGGGGAGAGTCCAGTGGGGACGTTGGGGGCTCTGGGATAAGTTTGCTTTTGGGAGCACCTGTGAGGGAGAGTTGAGGGACTAATGGTCTACTTTCTTGGAAGCATCTCCTTTTTCAGCATGGGACTTCACTCAGCCCAGGCCCCTGGACTCACAGTGCAGGCTGTTTTCCAAAAGAACTTGCTTTGCCTGAAAGAAAGGGAGATGGGTGTTGGGGGGACGGGGTCCAGAGAGCAGAGCCTGAGCACCGGCCATTCCCAATAATGAATGATTGCTTCTAAAACCAGGCCAAAGGCAGGTAATCCTCACCACTGCCCTCGAGTTAGGCACTATTCCTCCAGATGAGGAGAATCCAAGGCTAGGGACCTTGCTGCCTAAGATCACAAAGCAAGAGTGTGCCGCATCCCGAAGCCAGAAAGCCTAATTCTGCAGGATCAGCCATTTAAGTGGCAAGAGTGCCACACCCATGTTATTGGTGTCTGCCTTGGAGCCTGGGCTCTAAGCCACTTGCCATGCAGGTCCATACCTTGGCAGGGATGGAAGCCGGATGGTTCTCAATGAAGAGGCGCTGGAGACAGTGAATCCACAGCCGTTTCTCTTCTTGGTTCTTGGCCTGGGGGTGAGGTAGGTGGAGGTCAGGGATCTGGGTTCTGAGCTACAGCAGGGGTGGGAGTCAGCCCAGCCCAGCCCCTGCATACCTGGAGCAGGTGTCTGTGCTTGGGGATGGTCAGGTCTGACACCTTAAATCCTAACGGGTCTCGAGGGGTCTCAGTGACACTCAGATTACAGCACTGCGGGGAGGAACACAGAGGCTGGGGTGCTGAGACCCTCCTGAAAATACTGGGGCTCTCCCATCTCCTAGAAATCAAAATCAGCTCCTCACGGGATCCGCTCACTCCCTCACATCTATCTCCCTGAAGATGTGCTTCGTCTTCTTCCATGAAGACACCCTCCATTTTTAAAAAGTCCAGTCTCATTTACGTAGCTCAGGCTGGTCTCAAAAATCCTAATTACTATTATGTTTTACAGACAGGGTTTCTTTGTGGAGCCCTAGCTGTGCTGCAACTTGCTCTGTAGACCAGGCTGGCCTCGAACTCAGAGATCCACCTGCCTCTGCCTCTTGAGTGCTGGGATTAAATGTGTGCACCACCACCACCCAGCTAGCTCCCCGTTTTTTTTTGTTTTTTTTTTTTTTTTTCGAGACAGGGTTTCTTTGTATTGTTTTGGAGACTGTCCTGGAACTCACTCTGTAGACCAGGCTGGCCTCGAACTCACAGAGATCCGCCTGCCTCTGCCTCCCGAGTGCTGGGATTAAAGGCGTGCGCCACCAACGCTCGGCGCTCCCCGTTTTTTAATTTCCCTATGGAAAACGCTGGCTGGATATGATGGCACACACCTATAATCATAGCACTTGGGAGCCTGAAGCAGGAGAATTAAAACAAATTTGAAGTCAGCACAGCATATGCAGCAAGTTCCAGGCAGCTAGACTATAAAGAACACTGGAGGAAGGGCTTAGTGGGGACAAAAAGCACTGTGTGCCCATCCTGAAGACCCGAGTTCAACTCCCGGATTCCACAGCTCCACAAGGTGGCAGGACTGAATCTGAGAGCTTTCCTCTTGCTCTCTCGCTCACATGCGCGTGCGCACACACATTAAAATTTAAAAAAAAAAAAAAGACCAGCATGTGGGCCATTGCTATATGGCTCAATCTGTCCTTCGTTCTGGAGGTCGGACTCCTGCTTTTGCTTTCTTTCCAACTAAAACTCCTTTCTCCTTTCATCGCAGCACCTGGGAGGCAGAGGCAGGCAGGTTTCTGAGTTCAAGGCCAGCCTGGTTTAAACAGTGAGTTTGAGGTCACCCACAGCTACTTAGTGAGACATGAGACAATGTCTCAAAAACAAGTTACATGGCTGAGGGGTGTGCTGTGAGTCTGTGCATTTGTGTGCCCGTGGAAGCCAGAGGTCCTGGATCCTTTATAGCTGGAGTTTAGGAGGTTTTGAGCAGCCCGATGTGAATGCTGGGATGAAATCTGGATGTTTTCACTGACATGCACGCATGCGTGGTTTTTCGAGGCAGGGTTTCTCTGTATTGTTTTGGAGACTGTCCTGGAACTCGCTCAGTAGACCAGGCTGGCCTCGAACTCACAGAGATCCGCCTGCCTCTCGTGCGTGTTAATAGGGGGTTGTGTACACACCACCAAGTATCACTGGAGTTCAGAGAACAGCTCTGTGGTATCTTCACTCCCTGAGCCATGTAGCTACCTGAGGTGTTCACTGCTGCTTTTTCGGTTAAGTTTTGTTTTGCAACAGGGTCTCGTTCACAGTCCTAGCTAGCCTAGAACAGACACAGATCACTGTGCCTCTGCTGGGATCTGTTTTTGAATCAGGATCTCACTATGCAGCCTACACTGACTTTGAGCCCACTTAAGAGGTCAGGCTAGCCTCGAACTTGCAGCGACCTCGCTTCAGTCTCCGAGTGCTTGCTTGGTTTTCAGGCGTGAGCTACCACACCTAGCTTCTAGCCTTCACTTTCTGACACAGAATTTCATCAGTTTGTCCAGACTGGTCTTGAGCATTCTTTGTAGCCCAGGCTAGACTTGAACTGTTGATCTTCCTGTCTCAGTGCCCCCCCCCTGGAATCACAGATCTAACGTCACTGGGCCCAGCTGAATATGGTCCTTGGAAGCCAGGCTGTCCCCTAAACCACCTTTTGGGTATTCGGGTGACAGTACATTGAAGGTAACTGCCTGGCCCAGGCCCCACCCCATACTCACAAAGATGTGACCCTTGTAGGTATATTCGGGCCCGCGGCGTTTGGCCACAAGCAGCATCCGTGAGAACAGGAAGAGCAGGCGCTCACCCCCTCGCAGCCGTGGGCCTCCCCCACCGCCCCCACGGAAGGTGCCTTCCAGCACCAGCTCTCCAAAGGCACTGAGCTCGGGTCCAGTCCAGCCGCCGAGCCGCCGCTGTACCTCCTGCGGGGACCACACCAGGCACACAGACAGGCGGGGGGTGGGGTGGGGGGGTGGGGGGTGTGTGTGTGTGGGAGGGGTGGGGGAGTGGGGGGGGTTGGTGGCACACACACACACAAGGGCCAAAACAGAGGTGTTAGTGACGGGGATTCCCCTGCGCACTGCCCCCCAGCTCTGTCCCCAGCCCACCCTGGGGCCACCTGCAGGCGTGCTGCGTGCTCTTGCTTGCGCTTCATGTCGTTGATGTACCAGGCCACCGCGGTCATGGACACGATGGCTTCCTCCACCATCTCCCGCCCGCCGGTGTCTGGGCCCTCCGCCCAGTGTTTGCCCAGCTCCTGCCAGTCATCCAGCGGGGCGCACGGGGTGAGGAAAAGAGAAGATGACGGTGACAGGAGGAGGGGCAACGTGGAAGGGGGGGCAGACCACACACAGCCCAGGGAGCTAGGGGTGACTGTTGCATCCGACCACGCCCCTCCACAAAGCCAGGCCCCAGGAGACACAGCTGACCTGCAGCAAGAGATGGTACTTCAGGATACGCTGAACGGGCTTCAGCAAGAAGCTCTGCAGAGGCAGGGAATGGCGGAGCTGGGCCTGGCGTTCCTGCAGCCACAGAGTGGCCGGCGGGGACAGTGACAGCTCTCGGAGCAGGGCCAGCGAGCTGGAGACACAGGCACAGATCAGTGGTGGCCGGTGCCCCAGAGAGCCGGCGGGACTGGGAGCGTTTGGCTAGCGGCCGGGGTCCAGGGGCGGTCAGGGGAGGGCAGTTAAGGACTGGCGGGGGCTGAACCTGGGCTCTGGGTGGGGGGCGGTGGCTGACACACTGGGCTCATGGGCATGGCCCGGGGCCAAGCAGGGATCCCCTCTGCCTCACCTCGGGTAGTTCATGCAGTACAATGTGTAGATGTCAAAATCCTCGCTCTGCGGGGACAAGGGAGTCAGCACCACTTCCCACGCCCCGCCCCCACCCCGGGAAGCTAAGCTCAGCCCGGCCCAACTGTCCCCTCGCCCTGCGCTGTCTTCAACGCCGGCCCATACTCACCCTTTGCACAAAACACTCTGCTATGCTCCCTGCGCTGTTGCTGTTCTCCAAGTCCTCCAGGAGCTCACTGTGGGGAGGGGAAGAGTGAGGGACAGTCTGCCTCCCTGTCCCGCGGCAAGACCAACAGACATGGGACAGAGCCTAAGACGGCCACAGGAGAAAGCCCATCCCACTCATTCTGTCTCGGGATGGCTTCATAGTCTTCAGCCCAACAACCCTGCCACAGCTGGCATGTCGTGACCTAGGAGTGACACAACAGCCCTGGGAAAGGGGGTCGGGAATTCCCAAACAGATGATCTTACAATTCGGTTGTTTATATATAAAAAAATTCCAGTCGTAAGCTGGGCAATGGTGGCATAAGACTGTCATGTCAGTTACTTGGGAAGTAAGAAAGGAGGGTCAAGAGTTCGAGGTCGATGTGGGTTACTTAGTGAGACACTTGCCTCAAAACCCAAAAATGAGAAAAGCTGGGAACTGGCTCAGTGATGCAAAGCTTGCCCAGGACGTCCAAGGTCCAGGGTTCAATCTCTAGAGTTTTTTGTTCATTTGTTTTTTTCTAAAGGGCTCTGGACTGGGAAGAGGCGGCGCACACCTTTAATCCCAGCACTCGGGAGGCAGAGGCAGGAGGATCTCTGTGAGTTCGAGGCCAGCCTGGTCTACAGAGTGAGTTCCAGGACAGACAGCAGGAAGATCTCAATTTTGAGACCAGTTTGAACCACACCAGGAGACCCTACTTAAAAAAGAAGTCAAGGCTAGCTGGGTGTGGTGGTGCATGCCTATAATTCCCGCACTTGGGAGGTAGAGGCAGGGAAATGAGTTAAGGTTACCCTCAGCTACACAGCAGAGTTCCAAGCCAGCCTCGTTACATGAGACCCCGTGTGTCGCAAGGAATGGACAAACCATAAAAGCTTCTCTTGTGATTCTGAGATATCACTCTTAGTGATGTGGGGAGCAAACAGCTGGGTTAGGTGAGGGCTGAAGGCGTCCTAGGCCCTGGAATCACACTGCTAAATCTGTGAAAGTTCTAGGCACCCAGATCCCACATGACTCTTAGAGCCCAAGCCTGACGCCCCAACTTTACAAATGGCATCTGAGTGGTTCTATACCTCTTCCCCGCCGTCCCCATCATGCTCACTGCCCACTGACACCAGACCACACCTCACATGCCAGCCCACACAGGGCCACTATGGGACACTCGGGTTAGTGTTAGGACACAGCCCCTCCCCTGCCACAGCAGCCAGTGCCCTTGTGGTCCCCACCCGTCCCTGACCTGCTAAACTCATAGATGTCCTCGATGTTGGCAAACAGCGTGCCCACCTGCTCCATGCTCAGCCCCAGGGCCCTGCCATCCATCAGAGGACCCAGGTAGTCCTGTGGGGACAGGAGGGGTTACAGAGGCCAAGGAGCTGGCCTGGGTCCCCAACGTCTTCAGGTGCCTGCCCGCCCCCGCCTCACCTCCACAATGCTTCGAAGGTCCCGGACGTACGCCCGCTCTGTCTCCACGATCTCCTTGGCCACTCGCTCCAACCTTGAGGGTTTCACTGACCCCTGGGTTCCCACGGGCGACAGGTGGAGGCGTATGGGGGGCTCTGGCAGCGGCTCTGGCCTAGAGGCTGGGCAGGCTGGTGATGGGTCCCCCTCAGAGCCCACAGTGCTCAGGGAGGTGGAGCTGCCGGATCCCCTCGGGGAAGCCATGTTGGGGGCTGCGGGGGCTGCTAAGGCAGGGAGCAAGTGGTCAGGGCTTCCCGGACGCGTGGTCTTCCTACGGCCCCCACACTACCCGCTCAGCTGTCAGTTCCCGCGGGTCCACTAGCCTAATCTGTGCAGTCCCTACCTACCAGACCTTCCCCTCAGCCTAGAGCCTCCATTTCCTCCATCAGCCGAGGCTATCATCACGAGTCCGTCCATCGGACTCCCACAAGCAGAGCCCCTTTTGATGTTCAAGTGCAAATTCCTCAGATGCACAGGGCCCCCTCGTCCAATGCAGCCGCGGCGGGTCCCTTCACCCAGTTCCCTTTCTCCAGCACATCTCTATGCGGCCCCCACCCCTCCACGCTCAACTTTGTCCAATTACTTAAAGGTGCGGCTGCGGGGCCTTTGTACACACTGTTCCCTGCATGCAGAACACTTCTTTGTCTCCAACTCCTTCCTCCCGAACTCTCGGCTTATCGGTCTTCTCCGTGGCGACAGGGCTGCGCTAGGCTGTCTTGGCCACGGTGTTGGCAGCACCGCTCAGCACTGGGTCGGCCACGGAGGGATGCTCAGTGTCCTGAGATGGAAGCGACAAATGCCCACAGGCTCCACCTGTCTGGACTGCTCACCTGTCGGAGTATTGCTCACAGCTGCGCAGTCGCAAGTTCGGTGGCCACACCCGAGCCTAAGGCTGGGTTTGGACAGGCTGAGTCCCCGGGCTCCCTCGGGCATGGCTGAGTGGCACAACTCGCACCTACAAAGAGACCCGCTTCTTGGGAACCGGACTTCGCTGCCCTCGCTGCCTCTTCAACTCACAAAGCGCTGAAAGTTGATACAAAAATCCAAGGAGGGGCCCCACGGGGTGACTATTAGAGGAGACACAAAGTGACAGAAACAAGGGGCCGAGAAGACGAGCTGAAGATGGAAAGGTCGAGACAAAGAGCGAAGACGGCAAAAGTGCCCGAGTCTGCAAGTCCCATCTGTCCGCGCGCCCCCCTCCCCCGGGCTCAGGGATCCTGGGAACTCTCAGGCTCAGGCTGAAGCTGAGGGCGAGGGGCAGGGCTGGGAAAAACCGTGGGCGGGAGAGGCCGCGGGGTCCCAGGGGAGGGCGGAGGCTGGGGGACCGGATGCCAGGGTCCTGCAGACGGCTCCCTACCCCGCCCAGGACTGCGCGCTGGGCGCTGGCCCCGGGCCCTCCACCCAGCTCCGGCGGGTCCCCCGGCACCCCGACCGCGGTCCCCACCGTGCGAGCGTTCGCTGTGCGGTCCCAGCCCCCGGCTCCCGCCGGCGCCTCCGCCACCCCCCGCCGGCACGCCCCCTCATTGTTCCGCCTCGGCGCCGCCCCCTCCCCCAACCCCGGGCCCCTCGCCTCCCCTCACCTCCCGGGGAGCTGCGGGCCCCGGGGTCGGGAGTCCGGCGAGTGTGGACCGTAACGCGCGGTCCCCAGGGAGGCTCAGAGCCCGGACTCAGGGTCGTGAACTTGGGGCTCTGAGACTCCAGAATCCGGAGCGAGTTGAGATCCAGAGTCCGAGGTCTCGGTGTTCCGAGTGGAAGATGCTGCTGCAACCCTCCACTCGAGTCTCGGCCGGGGGCGCCGGGGGCCCCAATCCCTGAGTCTCCTAGGTAGGGACGTGTGTGGCAGGGGGGACCGGGATTCCAGAGTTTCCAGAACCCTAGGGGCAGGGATGAAGTCACCTCCGGGAGGGAGCGCAAGGACTCGCAAACTCCTCGGTCTCTTGGGAGTGATGGATGCTGCAGCCCTAGGTCGAGGAGCGAGGTCCGTTCCCCAAGTGGCTCCCGAACTCGAGAGTCAGGAGCCCCGGGGGCGGGGGGCGGGAGTGCGCGGCCCGCGATCCTGCGGTCTTCGAAGCCGGGTGCAGGCACGGGCCTCCGGCCTCGGAGGTGACGTCCCGGGCCCGCTGCTCCTCCAAGAGGGGGCGCTGGGCTTCAGCCGTCCCGGCGCGCGAACCCAGACTTGCCGGTCTCTTAAAGACGCGGGACAGGGATCCCGGACGCCCGGGTCCGACACGCCGAACGCCTCGGGCTCCGGGATGGGTGCCCCGGGGCTCCGGGGGCGGCGACGGCGCCGCATCTGGGGCGGGGAGAACCAGGTCCCAGATGTGGGGCGGGGGGCGGCCGCCCGAGGCTTCCCTTCCCCCTGGCCGCCGCTCGGGCTCACATCCTGTTCCCGCCCGCTGCGGGGGGAGGGGCCGCCTTCCGGCACGCCCTCCCGCAAAGGGTTAAGCCCCCCGCCCCCTGCTCTGCATGCTCGGGGGCGGGCGGGCCCAACGGCGGGCCGCCGCCCACATTCCAGGCCCGGAGGACTTTTGCCTTTTGCAGCAGGGGCCCGCCAGGCGTGAGAAGCCGGAACCGCGGCGCGCGCTCGCTCTCATTGGCCGATCGCAGGGCCTCACATTTGCATATGCAATGCGGGGCGGGGCCGTCCTGCGGGGCGGGGCTGTCCGGCGAGCCGCGCTACCGCGACCGACTGAAGGACTCGGTGGCGCGAGGGTGCGGCCGGAGCTCCAGTGGCGCAATCGGTTAGCGCGCGGTACTTATATGACAGTGCAGGCGGAGCAATGCCGAGGTTGTGAGTTCGATCCTCACCTGGAGCACTCTTTTCCTCCCTATTATATTTAAGCCGGGTGTATACTTCCCGTTCTCGTCGGTTTTAGAAGTCCTCACGTTTTATAAATCAACCAAACCGTATGTTTGAGACAGGGTCTCACCATGCAACACTGGCTGCCCTGGAACTCCCTCTCATCTCTCAGAGATCCGCCCGCCTCTGCCTCCCGAGTGCTGGGGTTAAAGGCTCGGAACATACAGCATTTTTGAATAATGAACATTATTTCCTTGTGATTTTTTTGCAGGGGTCGATTGGAACAGCCCGAAGGTGCAGTTTTCATTCTGAGCGCCAGGGGGCAATATCGCCCCTCATTAGGTGGCTCGGGCATCGACTGGACTCTAAATCTCAGAGCCTAGCGACGGATGGTTAGAACAGGCTCTGCCTCTTTCTGTATATTTCTTTTTCAGGTTTCTCAATCGATTTTTTATTTGTTTAATGTTTGTTTAACACATACTGAACAATCACTAGGCACCGTTCTTCCTGTCCCTGAGGACTTAACTTTCCACTAAAGAGATTGCTACAAACCTATGAATTACCTACATATTTTAACCTTCACCATGTTGCTCAAACTCCTGCCTCCATCTCCATCTGGGAGTGTAAGTGTATTTTTAGATTAGGTAGTGATAAATATGGAAGGGACTTAGACTGCCATAGTCAATGATCTTATTTTGATTTTTGTTTAAGACAGGGTTTCTTTGTGTAGTTCTGGTTCTCCAGGAACTCGAACTCAGAGCTCTGCCTGCCTCTGCCTCCCGAACGCTGAGAGTAAAGGCGCGCGCCACCAACGCCCTGGCTCCTAGCTTTAGTTTTGTGTGTGGGTGTTGTGGCTGTGCACCATGTGCATGCTTGGTGCTCCAGGAGACTGGAGGGAGTATTAGGTCCCCTGAACTTGAGTTACAGAGGGTTGTGAGCCCTGTGGTGCAGGCAGTCCAACCAGGTCCTCTGCTGGAGGTGTTCTTAACTGCTGGTCCATCTCTCCAGCCCCAGGGAAGATCTCCTTTAAACAGACATCTGTTGGAGTGCGTGCGCCATGGGAACACCAGGGAGATGTTTCAGGTAACACCCTAGGGCTGGAGGAGTGTGTTAGTGGAGCAGGTGAGAAGAGCAGGCAGCTAGCTGTGTGTGTGTGTGTTTGCACGCGCACATCGCGCTGAGTGGGGAGCGGGAACCCAGGCTGTTGGGCTGAGATGAGGATTTAGGACTTTGACTCTTTGTGATCTGACTCTGCGGTTCTAGTAAGCTTCCCTGGTCTCCTAGGGGAAAGCAACTGGGGGTGGGAGTGGGAGTAGGGGCGGGGGTGGGGGCGGGGGTGGGGGGTTGATCAGAGAGCAGTTAGGTACTTTTAGGTCTGAGTAGGAGCAAGGTGGCTTTCCGTGAGGGCTCTGGGACCTGGAGTGAGTTGCAGACTCGGGGGTGTGTCCAAGACAGATCTGTCTAACAAATGGGCTTGTGTCATTCTTTTTAAAAATGTTTGCTTTTGCCGAGCGTTGGTAGCGCATGTCTTTAATCCCAGCACTCGGGGAGGCAGAGGCAGGTGGATATCTATGAGTTCGAGACCAGCCTGGTCTACGGAGCGAGTTCCTGGACAGGTTCCAAAACAATACAGAGAAACCCTGCCTCGAAACCCCACCCCCAAAATTTCACTTTTGCTGGGCGGTGGGAGCCCATGCCTTTAATCCCAGCACTCAGGAGGCAGAAACAGGGATCTCTGTGAGTTCAAGGCTACACTGAGAAACCCTGTCTCCAAACAAGTTGTTTTTATTCTATGCATGTGAATGTTTTCCCTGCACATAATTATGTGCACTACAAGCATGCCTTAGTGACCTAGGAAACCAGAAGGCTCTGGGTCCCCTGGAACCGGAGTTCCGAGCCACCATTGGGTCCTTTACCAGAGACGGAAGCTCTCTCTTTTTTCTGAACCATCTCTTCAGGATCTAGTCATAGCCTTAGAGCAGGGCTTTCCAGACACGGCGCAGGCACTTTGCGTGTGCTTGGAAAGACCAAAAGGCCTTTTGGGGGTCGGGGAGTGGGGAGACCAGCGCTAGGGATGGTAGCTGTGGTCCTTCCTTCCAGCGCCCATCCGTCTGTCTCTCTCAAATGCCCGGCACTGCTGGCACTCCTCCCGCTACCTTCCCGAAGCCTCTGGGTCTTGGAGTTTGTTTCCCGCACCCAACCCTGTTCCACATGCCAGGGCCTGAGACTTTCCCATAAGGGAGGCAGTTTCCTGGATGAGACCAAAGGTCAGCAGAACGGAGTGAAAGACAGGCAGGACTTGGGGAAAGGAGGAGAGAGAGGTTAAGGGTACCTTTAGGGGAGGAAGGACAAAGGGACGGAGAGAGGAGCAACTAGGAATCAGAGGGCCTCGCCAGGAGAGCTACGACGTCAGCTCGACTCAAAAACAAACCCGGCAGAGTCCTAGGGGCGAAGAGACGCCGGGGAAAGAGGGCGGAGCCATAGCAGTAGGAGGAGGGGTTGGGGACAAGAAAGAAAAGTGGAGGGGTGGGGGGGAGCGCAGGCCCTGACGCGGGCAGCTTCCGGGCGCGGCCCGCCCAGCCCGGGCTGGCCGCCGCCGCGGTCTCTTGCCTTGTATGGTCGGAGGACGCGGCCGCCCTACCCATGCGCCCTACGAGCCGAAGCTTACGACGCTGCTCCGGAAATGCCCGATCGCGGTCGGGCCCAGGGGGCTGGGGTCTGCTCATGCTGGAAGGCGGAGACTCTTCCAGGGTTGGGACCCCCAAGTTGTTAGCTGCCGGAACCTGAGATTCCTAACAGAGCCTAGACTTCCCCACACTTCTTTAAAGCCCGTACCCCAGACTCAAAGGGCGCGTGTCTGTAATCCTAAGCATTCACGAGATCGAGGCAGGAGGATTACCAAGCGTTACGGGTCGCTCGGGGTTCAGAGGGGAGATCCTGGTTCCCCTTCCTTCTCGTCCTCCCCCACCCCAAATAAAATCCCGTAGAGTAGGGAGAGAGGGCTCAGCAAGAAGAGGTGCTTGCCGCCCAGGCGGGAGATCTAGTTCTGTCCCCGGGATCCACGTCGGGGAAGAGGCCGGGTCCCCGCGGGCTGTCTTCCGACCTCGGCGCTGCTTGGCGCGCACACACGCTACGCGCTAGCAAAGCCGGGCTGGCGCTCGTTATCCCAGCGTTTCAGAGGCTGAGGCTCAGCTTGAGTTACTCGACCGTTTCCCAAAACAAGCCTTGTGTCAAGAGTTTGAAGTCCACCCCCGCTCTGTACGCCGGGTGCAAGGGTCCCCTAGGAGCCGGCTCCGGGATGATCCCCTGCCCCTGGCCGCCCCGGCTCGCGTTCCGGCACATTCCGTCCTCCCCGTCCCGCCCCGCCCTCCACCCTTGGCCCCGTGGGGACGGAAACATCCCGTCCCTGCCCGAGCTGGGTCAAGAGCCGGAGGGACAGGACTGGAGCGCCCCCAGCGTCAGAACCAGCTCTCCTGGCTTCTACTGGGTGACCTCATCTCACCACGCCCCCTCAGGTGAACAAACCGGAGGGTAACGTCACTTCCTGCCAGGTAAGCGCCACCAGGAATCACAGCTCCCTGGCAAGTCTGGAGGTCAGTTTGCCCACTGTCCCACAGATGTGGCCCCGTGAAAACAAACAAATTCCATCTCAGTTACCACTCAAGATTTTATTTAAAAATTCCATAAAACCACAAAAATAGACCTGTAAGGTAGCAATATATTACTTAATATATTATAGTATACTTAATACAGTATCCATTTTAATATTACAAAAAGAAAAACGAAGTAGACGACCCAATATATATAAATACTATAAAATCTTATTACAATAAATAAAGTCGTCATAAATAAAGGGCCCACTGGTTGGAGAAGGGATTTGGCAATGGCTTTGGCTATTTGCTTTGGGAGGGAAATTTGAGCACCAGGATTCTCCCTCAGGGGAAGCTTCAACCACCAGACACTGATCCTCCGGGTTTAGTAAAAACTGGGATGGGGTTGTGGGAGCCAGCTCTCTTCACAGCACTTAAGATTCCAGGAGACCAGAGTTGGGGAGGGGCTGGTGCATGCCTATATAACACCAAAACTTGGTAAACAAAGGAAGGATTATCTCAAGTTCAACGACAGCCTGAGCTCCATAATGAGCCCCAATCTCAGAAACAACCCAAGAGTTGGGCCTGGAAGACCAACTGTCAACTGTCCCCCTCAAAAATGCTACATTTTAGGTACCCTATGAACCAATACACCTAAACACTTAACTTGCAAACTAGGGACCTGCCCTAGCACAGCACCAGGGGGGAGTTAATGCATTCTGGAATGTCGAGAGGCACTTACTAATTTAGGAGTCCCCTAGGTCCCCACAGCAATAAGCAACCCCCTTGAGACCTAGCTGATCCGCACTAGTTAGGCGTTTGTCACTCAGAAACAGAGATGCGATTGAAAATGGGGAGACGCCTTGGGGTTGCAGGGGGCTGGGGA